GCCCATTACCATCATCCATGGAGTGCTTTGAAACCCTACAATCTCCCCCTCAAAGTATGGAATGGTTGACAATGCTTTAACTTCCAAAACAAGCATCTAGCAAATAAAAGATCTGCAACGAGGAATATATGAAGTAATCCACGAATCTTGATTCTTTAATAGTCTTCAAACACGGGCTCTAGGATATATAAACCAAGCACTGAAGTAATGTCTTTAAACTTCATTTTCGAATGTAATCCCAAAGAATCTTCATGAAAACCAAACCCGCCATAAAAATCCATTTCAGAACAAAGAAACCAAATCACTTTTTGTCTTTGAAGAGCTCCCCCTCCAAGTCACAATGATCTTCAAAAAAGCTAATGGTATACGCCATCAAAAAATATCATGTAACAACCCAAACTTTAAGATTCGTAACGCCACTTGATCGAGAAAATACAAGAAGTTGGAGATATAACAATTCCTTAGCAGAGCTCGATAAAAAAACTTCTGCTGTAAAGGATACTTCTCTGTAAAAGCTTTAGCAGAGCTTGATGAAGAACTTCCGCTGTAAAAGCTACCTTCATAATTCTACCATAAGCTTTATTAAAAATCTTCAACTTTGAAAAGTCACAAATCCAATTTCGAATGGCCATACCAAATTCTCCCCCGATTTATAATCGAAAACGTGATTATAAAGCCTTCTTATGGTCATGAGAATGATCTTGAATGGATAAAATCTACTGTGCTCCCCTGCGACAAATGATATATACAATGAAGTATAAAATCCAAAAAAGTCGTGAAAATTTGTCGTTATCACGAAAAACAACTTTCCGAACTGCCAAGACTTGATGGAATCCATGGTTTTCTGTTCACGAAAATATATGAGCGTTGAAAAATCCAAAACTGTACACCACCCTCAAATTCGTAAACTTTTCGAAAAAAAATGGGATGAAACTGTCACACTGTTGAAAGTCGGGGACTAAAAATGTAACTCTGCATCAATTCCCCCTTTAATTGTAATAATATCTGGAATGGACCAAAATACCCAAGCTTTGAAAACAACATGGATCAAAAGTGTCAAATCATTGAAGTTTCAGGGACCAAAAATGTAACTGGAGTCATCTTCATCCCCATTTAATATCTTTAATATCTGATGAACGAACAAAGCTTCATAACTCGTAATGGTGAACTCTGAATGCAACTTCGATCAATCATATATTCCGAGCACAGAGTTCCGCCAAGCATCACATTCCGATTCCGAATCCAATAAGTCCAGTGCCGATTGCGAATCAAAGATACAAGTTCGCTACGAATCCCAATTAACCGAGTTCGCTGTGAATCAATGTCTACCACAAATGCGATGTGAAACACTAGGATATCTGAATCCAAAGTTTTGAACGATTGTAGGAAAAAACGAGTACGAGCCTAGTTCTGATCGTTCGCAGGTTGGCATTTGCAATTCATCAATTTTGACTTTTCATTCATCGTATCCTAAATTGGTTTCGCAATTTCTGTTAATATAAGTTCCGATCTCGTGATTTCATTCCGACTGCCGAATTGTTCAATATCACAAGAACTATTTTGATTATGTTTGCAGGTAAGGTCTTTCGTTCATAGTTCACCCCAAAATTGATTTTGACCATCAAATGCGAACAGATACACATATCATTCTGAATGTGATGCCATCGCACCTACTGCCGTCATTCTGATTTTCATTCACAGCTTCTTTCACATATCATCTTCCATAAACACAAAATTTCCACTTTCAAGATTTTTTTTTAATCAAACATCATATTTCAATCTAAGTCGACACCATCTCCCTCTGTTCTTGAACTGGTTCTTGATTCCATCATCTTTGATAAAGCTCAAACCAAATTACATTTAAGAACCTTGATCATCATCATCAGCATTCGATTATCACACAATATTCAACTCGTTTTATAATTGATTTCAAGAATCAAAATAAAAAATTGAGAATCAAAATATAGTCGAATCATGAAATCGATTTGAAAAACAAAATAAGATTGATAAGCAGAAACACATTAGACGATATGGATCAAAGAATCGAGTGATGAAATCGAGTAAGGGAAATTTGTGAATCGGAAGTTTTAGAATCGAGAACTGATTATGTGTTGTCCAAGCGATGAACAGTAGCGATTATAATAGGCTCAATAACATAAACAAATCGGAGGAACAAATATGGATCAAAATAATAGGGCTAAACGATCAAAACAATAAAATGGATATTGGATCGAAGAATTGATCAGATCCAAACAGAATATATGAAACAGATACGATTTACGAATGAGATTGACATAATACCAGATGAACAGTAAAAGAACAGCATACATCATCATGAGCAGTAGATAAAAAAACCTCGATTCCAAACCGTCAAAATACCAATAATCTTCAATAACTTGTGCAGAAATTCATCAAACCAAGAACCGATACTTCAAAAATCAATAGATCTTCAAAGACCCGCTCTGATACCACTTGTTGGGATTAAAACCCTAATTGAGATTTGATGAACACGATGCGGAAAATAAGAACAAACACAAATATGAAGATTATATCGAATGATCACTCGATTTATTGAATTGTGAGGAACAAATTACACTTAAGAAAATAAGAATCTAACTCTACAAGAAACCTCACAACATTGTGGCTACATTTTGCCTCACTCTCTTAACCCTAATTATGAATAATACATGACTATTTATAGGGAAAAGACAAGTCTTGGGTTTTTAACCTAGAGTTCATCAAAGGGGCCCATTACCATCATCCATGGAGTGCTTTGAAACCCTACAGAACCATCAATAAATTTATAGAGATCCAAGCCATATAGCAGAGCTTCAATCTGAGTTTTCCAACTCATGTAATTGGTGGATAGTAATTTGAGTGATGGTGGGAATTAAACGACAGTGAAAGATGGAGTTTTGAGAGGTAGAGTATGAATAATAAAAGAAGAAGAACTGTTATTGGTGCTCATGATGAGTGATGAGAATGGCTGCCCGGAAAATATATTTTAGGGTTCCTGGCTGATACCATATAAACGTAATGATTGAGAACTTAATTATCATTGAATGAAAAGTGGAATACATATACAGAGGGGATCCAATAATATTAGATCTGTTACACCAATTATGGAAGACTATTTCTATCTCTATCTAATTATTCAAAATAAATAAGGCATGTGGTAAATATACATAATACAACACAGGGAGAATCGGATTATGTGTTAATAGTGTATATGTGTGTGTCCTGGTAACCCTTCCCTCTGTAACTATCTTCTTAGTATCCTAATGCAATATGTTTGTGTAGGTACTTTTTTTGATGGTTTGGCTGAAGTTTTCAAGTCGAGATTTTTATTTCTTGTGGCTTGGGAAAGTTCAATTTCTTTGTTTTTCAATATGTTGGATTGATCCATGTCTATTTTTTCTGGGTTCACCTATCATGCTAAAACACTAAATTTTTTATTTAAACTTGCAAGACATGCAAAATAATAGGTTTTCGTCTCCAAAATAAAGTTGAGTCTGATACATTTTTTAATCTTTGATCTAATGTTGCAGCTTTGGAGGAAGAATTGATCGAAGCAGCGAGATGAATTAATTAAATCGTATAACTCACAATCACTAAGTGACTTCAACACTCCAAATATGGAGTCAGTGAGTATTTTAGTATTTTTGTGTGATTTTGTTTCAGATTTCTTAAGACAAAATGGAACACCAATCTGGGTGTTTCTTTCCATGATTCTACCTTGACATGGATGCTTGCAATAGGTGTTTGTACACTTGGGTTGATTTTATAGTGTCATTATACATTTAGTAAAGTTGTATTCCTCATTTACTCTTCTCAGTGTTTTCATATCATTTTTCTTCTAAAATGATTGTGTTTGGATTGAACTACATAGGTTTCAAAGGAATTATTTAATGGGAATAACGTTAACGTGCTCAAGGAAAGTTTACATAAAGTATTTGTAGAAATGGCTGTGAGAAAACAAGAGGTGAGTATGAGCACTACAAAATCTTTCTTTATGCTATCTTTTTACAGAAATTTCTCCTGGGTTGTGTTTTAGTTTTGATTTAATGACATTATCAATTTTTCTTTATGCTCTTTCCTACAGATATGGTACTAACTCACTTATGATATATCAACTTTTTAACCTAGCCAATGACATCGAAGTTAATTATTATTTTTTGTTGATTAGGTAGAAATTAGTATCTATAATACTTCCATGTTCTTGATATTTAACAGGGAATAGCTAAAGATGGATCATAAATTTATGATACAAACAAAGAAAAGTAAGTTGATTTGTTGCTAATAGTAATAATAAAAGCTCATTAGGTATGCTCCTGTGTTTTTAATTGTTTAATCGAAACCTAATGGCCTCATCCATTACATCTTTCATTAGGCTGATATGGTTCTTGACCTACTGGTGCTAAAAATGTGTTGTTTTTCTCTTCAAATAGTTACTACTCTAAATGGGTAAAGTTTTCAATGTTTAATGCATGAATAAGAATAAAAAGTGAGATTATATTGTTGAAATTATTGAAGTTCAACAATGTAATAGAAAAGAAAACTAGACATAAAAAAAATAACATTATTTAAAAAAAGTCAATAATGGAAGTCTGTTTGTATTTCTTACATTAGCCAGAGAAAGAACAATGAAAAAGAATGACAAAATTGCAAGAATGGTCCCTGTGGTTAGGTCGAAATTGCCACTTTGGGCCAAACAGGTTTTGACTAGCACTCATGGTCCAAAGGTTTTCATTTTCTTACCACTTTGGTCCAATTTACTATAAATTTTTTAATAATGACCATTTTAACCTTTCTTTTTATTTTTTCAGTTTTTTTATTATTTATTCAAATACTTTTATTAAAAGAAAAAGAAAAAAGAAAATACATTTCTATCCTCTCTCTCTCTCTCTCTCTCTCTCTCTCTCTCTCTCCTTATGGTAGACCACCACCATCGCTGCAAAATCTATCCAACACTTTGTCTGCTTCACACATCTTCATCCTCTATGACGATCTCATCCAGATCATTCCTCAGTCCAGCCAGGGTTGGGGCTGCTCGTGACCCACCGCCGCTTTTCCTCTCAAACTCGCACAATCATAGGCTCAAAAATAGTCGTAGCATCAAAGGCGGCGCGTCTCCCGCAATGTTTCCTACCATCGGTAAAAAAAGAGGAAGCAGTTTTGAAAGCCCTAAACCGTCTTCCCCTAAAGTTACCTGCATTTTTCAGGTTAGGATGAAGAGCAAGAAGAAGCACACGAAAAATCTGAGTTTATCGAGACGACAGAGTGCCGATGAAGTTAGTTTCAGGAGATTCGAGCATTCCGGTAATGGGTTCGGTAGTCAAAGTCAAAATCTCGGTTCTAATCAAGAGTGTTTACCATTGCAGAGGAATAATCAGAGATGGTTTCATTTACCATTGATGATTTGTGAAGGTTTAAGAGCATTTGGGTCTGAGGTAAGTTGTTTGTTTCCTTACCAGTCTTCGTGTTCTTCAATGACAGCGATAGAGAAAGAGGAAAAAATGGTTGGGGAAAATAGATAGGGGTCTTGTGGTGCGGTGTTTGCATAGTGGTTGGTGGCATTGCAGGGAGGTGATGGAAGTGGAAGAGATGCCAGTGGTGGTGGTGAGAGAGTGGTTGAGTTAATCGTCGGAGACAATGATGATGAGAATGAGGAAATTGATGAGATGGGTATTATGAATTCAAGAAGACATGTATTTCAAGACTTGGAGATTGTAAATGACATCATCTTTGGGACAATCGATTAAGCTAGGGTGAGCACTTATGTACCACATAAAAATGCTTTGTTATTGATGAGGTGTAGATATGATCCTATGAAGATGGAAGCTCTCACAAATCGAATTTGGGAACCAAATATGGAGAAAAACAATGAGGAAGATGAAGATGAAGATGAAGAATCTTGTAAGACAAAATTGCAAGAATGGTCCCTGTGGTTAGGTCGAATTTGCCACTTTGGACCAAACAGGTTTGGACTAGCACTCATGGTCCAAAGGTTTTCATTTTCTTGCCACTTTAGTCCAATTTACTTTAAATTGTAGACAAAATTGCAAGAATGGTCCCTGTGGTTAGGTCGAATTTGCCACTTTGGACCAAACAGGTTTGGACTAGCACTCATGGTCCAAAGGTTTTCATTTTATTGCCACTTTAGTCCAATTTACTTTAAATTGTATAATAATGACCATTTTGCCCTTTCTTTTTATTTTTTCAGTTTTTATTATTATTTATTCAAATACTTTTATTAAAAGAAAAAGAAAAAAGAAAATATATTTCTCTCCCCCCCCCCTTCTCTCTCTCTCTCTCTCTATGCTGAAGATTTTCAGGAATTACGCTCTCTTCAATTTTCTCTTCATTTTTACAAGATTCTTCATCTTCCTCATTGTTTTTCTCCATATTTGGTTCCCAGAATCGATTCGTGAGAGCTTCCATCTTCATAGGATCATATCTACACCTCATCAATAACAAAGCATTTTTAGGTGGTACATAAGTGCTCACCCTAGCTTAATCGATTGTCCCAAAGATGATGTCGTTTACAATCTCCAAGTCTTGAAATACATGTCTTCTTGAATTCATAATACCCATCTCATCAATTTCCTCATTCTTATCATCATCGTCTCCGACGATTAACTCAACCACTCTCTCACCACCACCACTGGCATCTCTTCCACTTCCATCACCTCCCTGCAATGCCACCAACCACTATGCAAACACCGCACCACAAGACCCCTGTCTATTTTCCCCAACCATTTTTTCCTCTTTCTCTATCGCCGTCATTGAAGAACACGAAGACTGGTAAGGAAACAAACAGCTTACCTCAGACCCAAACGCTCTTAAACCTTCACAAATCATCAATGGTAAATGAACCCATCTCTGATTATTCCTCTACAATGGTAAACACTCTTGATTAGAACCAAGATTTTGACTTTGACTACCGAACCCATTACCGGAATGCTCGAATCTCCTGAAACTAACTTCATCGGCACTCTGTCGTCTCGATAAACTCAGATTTTTCGTGTGCTTCTTCTTGCTCTTCATCCTAACCTGAAAAATGCAGGTAACTTTAGGGGAAGACAGTTCAGGGTTTTCAAAACTGCTTCCTCTTTTTTTACCGATGGTAGGGAACATTGCGGGAGACGCGTCGCCTTTGATGCTACGACTATTTTTGAGCCTACAGTTGTGCGTGTTTGAGAGGAAAAGCGGCGGTGGGTCACGAGTAGCCCCAACCCTGGCTGGACTGGGGAATGATCTGGATGAGATCGTCATAGAGGATGAAGATGTGTGAAGCAGACAAAGTGTTGGATAGATTTTGCAGCGATGGTGGTGGTCTACCATAAGGAGAGAGAGAGAGAGAGAGAGAGAGAGAGAGAGGGGGGGGGATAGAAATGTATTTTCTTTTTTCTTTTTCTTTTAATAAAAGTATTTGAATAAATAATAAAAAAAACTGAAAAAATAAAAAGAAAGGTTAAAATGGTCATTATTAAAAAATTTATAGTAAATTGGACCAAAGTGGTAAGAAAATGAAAACCTTTGAACCATGAGTGCTAGTCAAAACCTGTTTGGCCCAAAGTGGCAATTTCGACCTAACCACAGGGACCATTCTTGCAATTTTGTCATCTTGTAAAAATGAAGAGAAAATTGAAGAGAGCGTAATTCCTGAAAATCTTCAGCATAGAGAGAGAGGGAGGGAGGGAGGGGGGGAGAGAGAAATATATTTTCTTTTTTCTTTTTCTTTTAATAAAAGTATTTGAATAAATAATAAAAAAAAAAACTGAAAAAATAAAAAGAAATGGCAAAATGATCATTATTATACAATTTAAAGTAAATTGGACTAAAGTGGCAAGAAAATGAAAACCTTTGGACCATGAGTATTAGTCCAAAGCTGTTTGGTCCAAAGTGACAAATTCGACCTAACCACATGGACCATTCTTGCAATTTTGTCCAATAGCAAACGACCTCTTAACTGAAGTTATTATCGCTATAAAATATATGACATTCGTTTAAGTAATATATAGATAGTTATTAATTTTGTAGATAGAAACAATGTGATCATGGTTTATTTATAAAAAAAAAGATAATATTTATATTAATAAAATTTAATAAGTTAAGGATATATTTTAATTTGGGTGCATGATGTCAGCAATGGAAAAAAACGAATGAAATTTCAGAGTTCATTGACTAATTTAGCATGATTAGATGTTTAGTCGCATTGAATCAAAATCAAGAGTTGCATGGTCTTTTCCGACACCCCCCCCCCCCCCCCCCCCTCCCCGCCACACACACACCACATAGTTGGTGGGGGGAGGGCTAACCGGAGTGTTCAGGGTCTAATTAGATGTTTAATGGCTAAATTGAGTCAAATGAAAAGTTGCATAATCATTTAAATCAAAACTATTTTACAATATACAATATTCTTTTTTGAGATACATAGAATTCTACTACAATTGCAATACTATCCTACACTAATAAAAATGGGGGAAATACGAGAACCAAAAAGAGCCCAATTTTATTATGAGAAACGCCTCAACACAGTAGAAAATTTAATTATGTCATATCTTACAACAACATAGTTTATATGGCTTCTTTTTTCGATTTTAGAAACCAAGGTAACTTTACCTTGGATCCTACGCTGACACAGTGACAAGGATGTTCAAAATAAGGAGGAAACCACACTCAAACGTTTTCTTTAACAATTTCACCACCACTTGCCAGTTGCCAGTTGAGCAATTTGACTGCAAGTATAATGTTAAGCAACTATAAGTCTATATAATATTCACACAAAGTCAGATACACTCCAACAAAGGTGCTGCTATTATATAATATTATCACGTGCCGTATCATGTGATCACACCCCTTTTTTGAAACTCTTGACAACATCTAATCTTGAATAATATCAGACTCATAACTTTGAATACTACAGTCAAAGATCCATCACATGATCTCTCTTCAGATCTTACAAAGTTACAACCTCTACATATGCTTTCAAAATCCAATCACTTGTTCAAAAATGGATTCTCACTCTAAAACAATGGCTGCTTTCTTTCTAGCCCTTCTCTTCATTCTTGGTTCATGGCCTGGTTTCCTTCAAGTTCAAGCAACACGACTTCTATCTACAAGTGTGGTTTCCACATCTTCGTCTTCAGAGAGTACTTTCAAAGGTTTGCATGCAAACAGAAAGGAACCTTTCAAGAAGGTGAAATCAAGCTTTAGGAGGATACCACCAAGCAGATCAAATCCCACACAGAACAAGTAAGTAACTTGACAAAAGGATATCAGAGATCTATCATGTTCTTAAAGGATATAGATGCAGTTTTTGATAGGTGTAGCTGCATAGGAATAGATTGTTATTTTCGTATGTTTAGATCAAGGGCTGGTATGAGGTTTCGAGTGTCTCTTTTTAGCGAGTTGATAGTTTTTGTTGTTAAATGTAACCAATAGTTAAGAGATGTGAATACAAAATTTTCAATTATATTTCCATGGGTATTTAACAGGATCAATTTTTGTCCCCAAAAGTGATGTAGTGAGGTTATTAATTTGTTGAACAAAGTATGGTGGACTTGCTTGAGTCCATACAGTGCATGGTTGAGTTTACAAACTGTAGTAGGGTCACCCGCCTTGATGTACCCATCTGGTCAAGGGTGAACTTACATACATTGAAACAACCTGTGTGCTTTAGAATTTTTTTAAAGATTATGGTATACCTTTTAGATGGACATACTAATGAACTTATAGATGGAATTCGTATGTGTGCAATGTTGGTAACATAAAAAAAAATATATATTCTAGTAACATTTTGTGTTTGATATATTATTTTGATTCACAGAATTTTGAAATAATGAAACCAGATTATTAAACATACGTTTTAGGACGGCGATTAACAAAAAAATCTTTCTATAACAATCATCATATATTCTTAATTTTTAATTCAAATACAAGATAAAATAACATTGTAGTTTGGAATGAAAATATCGAAAGCTCTTTCGAAGAAAAA